CTGGGAGGTTGTCGAGGGGTGCTGGGAGGGTGTCGAGGGGTGCTGGGACGGTGTCGAGGGGTGCTGGGAGGCAACTGGAGGGTACTGGGAAGATGTTGGAGGCCCTGAGAGTTACTGGGAAGGCCCTGGGGATTTACTAGAGCCCCTAAGAAGTCGCACTGGGCATTACTGGGAGTTACTGGGAGCCCTTTTGCAGACCTACGCCGAGATGGACCCCACCACGGCGGCGCTGGAGAAGGAGCACGAGGCAGTGAGTTCCCGGGGGGGGTCCCCAAAGTTCCCAGGGGGGGTCCCCGAGGTCCTGGGCATGTCCCCAAGGGTCTGTGGGGGGTCCCCAAATCTGGGGTGACCCCCCCCACCGCGTCATATGTGTCGTCGTCCCCCCCCCCAGATCACAAAAGTGAAGTACGTGGACAAGATCCACATAGGACACTTCGAGATCGACGCCTGGTATTTCTCCCCGTTCCCCGAGGACTACGGGAAGCAGCCCAAGCTCTGGATCTGCGAATATTGCCTCAAATACATGAAGTTCGAGCGCACCTACCGCCTCCACCTGGTATGGGGACACGCGTGACACGCTTGCGACACGCGGCGGCTGGCGGGGGGACGACGGGGACGCACACATAGGGGACGGTCACGCGGGGAGCTCCGCGAGCGCGGCCTCGAGGCTGCGACGCCTGAGCGCGCGGAGGGGCCCAGCGGGTAGGGGACACGCGTGACACGCTTGGGGACACACGTGATGTGTGTGACACGTGGAGGAACACGCGTGACCGTCCCCAGGGCCAGTGCCAGTGGCGGCAGCCGCCGGGACGGGAGATCTACCGCAAGAGCAACATCTCCGTCTACGAGGTGGACGGCAAAGACCACAAGGTAACCCGGGGGTGGTTGACGCGGGGGAACACGCGTGGCGACGCGTGACGGCGCGTGACGCGTGACGACGCCTTCCCAGATCTACTGCCAGAACCTCTGCCTGCTGGCCAAACTCTTCCTCGACCATAAAACCCTTTATTTCGACGTGGAACCTTTCGTTTTCTACCTCCTCACCGAGGTGGACCGACAGGGCGCCCACATCGTCGGCTACTTTTCCAAGGTATTTGGGGGGGCGGTGACACGCGACACGTGTGTCACCGTCACCCCGACACATGTGTCACCGTCACGCGTCCGTCACCGTCACCCACCACCGCGTGTCACCCCGCAGGAGAAGGAATCGCCCGACGGCAACAACGTCGCCTGCATCCTGACGCTGCCGCCCTACCAGCGCCGGGGTTACGGCAAATTCCTCATCGCCTTTAGTGAGTCGGGTGGGGGGGTCCCCAAAAAGGGGTGGGGGGTCCCCAAAAAGGGGTGGGGGGTCCCCAAAAAGGGGTGGGACCCCCCCAAACGCTTGGGTTCCCCTTTCCCGGCAGGTTACGAGCTATCCAAGCTGGAAAGCACGGTGGGTTCCCCAGAGAAACCGCTGTCGGACCTGGGGAAGCTGAGCTACCGCAGTTACTGGTCCTGGGTGCTGCTGGAGATCCTGAGGGACTTTCGGGGCACCTTGTCCATCAAGGATCTCAGGTGGGCACCAGTAACTCCCAGTAACCCCACTGGTGGGCACCAGTAACTCCCAGTGACCCTCCGAATACTCCCAGTAACCCTCCAAGTACTCCCAGGAACGTGGGATCATGGGTGCTGCTGGAGGTCCTGGGGGACTTCCAGGGCACCCTGTCCATCAAGGACCTCACTGGGCACCAGTAACTCCCAGTAACGTGGGGTCATGGGTGCTGCTGGAGATCCTGAGGGACTTCTCCGGGGCACCCTGACCATCAAGGACCAGAGTTTGGCACCAGTAACTCCCAGTAACCCTCTTGAGTACTCCCAGTAACGTGGGATCACGGGTGCTGCTGGAGATGCTGAGGGACTTCTGGGGCACCCTGACCATCAAGGAGCTGAGGTGGGCACCAGGAGTCAGCCAGTAAGACCAGTAGCCTCCCAGTGCGACCAGTTAACCCTCCAGTATCTCTGGATCACGCGTACTGCTGGAGGTCCTGCGTCTCCATCTCTCCCCAATGCCCCCAGCACCCCACTACCCACCAGTAACTCCTCCCAGTACCCCCTTCCACCCCACAGTCAGCTCCAATTCTTCCACCACCTCCCCTCCAGTTCCCCAGTGCTCCCAGTAACCCCCTTCCCCTCCCCAGCCAGATGACCAGTATCACCCAGACCGACATCATCAGCACCCTCCAGTCCCTCAACATGGTCAAGTACTGGAAAGGGCAACACGTCATCTGCGTCACCCCCAAACTGGTGGAGGAACACCTCAAAAGCGCCCAGTACAAGAAACCACCCATCACCGGTACGTAATTAACCTCTCCTCGTTAACGACCTCGCTCCTGA